GTAGACTGTTCGATCAGATTGTTACTTCTTTGACTATCATTACTTTCCTCATTGTTCTCTTCACTCGATTCACCAACGACACTGTCACTGACATTCTGTTTACTTTTATCCTCATCTATTTTCTTAATATAATCATGATAACGCATAGTAAAGGCTACGTACTCACTTGCACAAACTTGCATCCATTTTTCAGCTTCTTCGAACTCTTCATCATCTAATAACATAGTAAATTCTTCATGTTTCATCACTAATCCTTCATGAGCCCTTCGTAACTCTTCAAAGGCTTGTTTTACTTCACTTTTCGAACGACTTGCTTCAATCAGTTCATTTGTAACATGCATTGCTCTCGTCAGAGAACCTTTTGCACCACGACGTGCATTCTTAGCTTTATTCTTAATCTCTTTATCCATTTTACTTCAAAGACAAAGTTCAGTACATAGCACCATCAGCAAACATATAAAATCTTCAGATAATTGACCGATGGCGCAGGCGACAGTAGACAAACAACAACAATGGTTTGGTTTTCTTATTATTAAATTATACAAACACGAAATTTGCATAAAATATGTATATATAATCTGAAGCTATAAGATAAAGAATAGAAAGAAAATTACGACTATGTTTACAAATATAAATACAATACATTACGTTACAATTACACTGTTTTTAACTTACATTTGTCCAAACCAGTGATAAACTTTAAAACCATAAATCCTAACTTGACTTTTCCTGGTTCAAAACATTAATTTTTAGCGTTTCTTTAGACTACTTTTATACGTACTTTTAACGTTCAACATGGCTTCCTTTTCGCGCGCTTTTCTCAGTTCATCGCGGGCGACAATAATTATTCTACGTACGTCATGTTATTTTAGTCAAATCAACGTAACAATATCGTCGTTATTTTATGGTGGATGTCATTGAAATTTTCAGGACGTACAAAAGAAAGGTAGATTATTCATTTTATTATAATAAAAGCTTATTGAATCGTGCTAAAATTGTCATTTTAAACGCAGCAAACTGTATGTGCTGTTTTGGCACCGATGGATATATACGCATTTATATGTTGTTTTTCTGAGTGTAGTTTGAAACTATTGCAACTACTATTCCACTTAACTTGAAGAAAAATGCGTCATGTCTTGTTTTTAGAACGCAGTAGGTTGAATTTTTTAAATTTTAGGCGCATATTATACTGTGAATATCCTTATAATTCGTACTACTATTCGTACTAAATTATATACCTGATCAGTAAAAGGGGATGTGATGTCTTTGTATTGGGCTTCTTTTCTTAATTAACAAAAACGTTTTTGGACTAAACTAAGTAAACTGCGCGAGTAGAATCCATTTTCACCAGAACTGGTTTATAATTTGTAACTTTGATATTAAACTTTGATTGCTGGTAACAGTAATGAGTACGATATTTGTTCACATCTGTATCAAGCAATTGATGGTTGAGCAGACTAACTTGCCAGAAGTTACAGTTCATGACCCAAAATTGCAACACACCAATCTCATGTAGATTTACTCAGCAAGCACCATCTTAATTAATGATTTCACCTGTTATCAATTACCATCGGCATTGTTAGGTTTACCATCTTAGTGAAGGAGCGAGACTAATTAAGCTCCAAAATAATAAAATATTGCACATTCAAACTGTGTAGCTCAGTCTGGAATGCATTGGTCTTGTAAACCAGGGGTTGTGGGCTGCATTCTTACTGTGGTAAAGTTGATTTTTCAGCTTGCCTGGTATAAATTTACTCAGTGTAGCAACATATTAGTAATTTCTCCTGTGTATGATTACCATCAATATTAGATTTAACACCAGCCTTGTATCTTACAGTTCAGTTCTTATGTACTTGGTGTAAAAGATTTTAAGCAATATAACTTGTAGAAGTTATATTGATTAATTGTTTTGGCAACACAGCATATTGTCCAGTGCACATGGTTAAAGATGTGCTACCTTCAAATATTTTCTGTTCTTCTTTTTAGTGTTGGAAAGTTCACGATTGGCAAATTTCAAGCTGTAGTAAATGCACAACCTCAAAAACAATTTTTGTATCTTTCATGATGTAGTCCAGAAAGCAATTTGTTGGAACATGAAGACCTTCAAATGTGTTTTCTGTTTGATCAAAGGCCTTGAAGAAACAAAACTGCTTCCTGTTATCATCTAGGTCATTACATTGGATGGCATTTGTGCATGTAGGACAGTTGCAGATCTTAATAGATTTATGGATCTAAACTCAAATTTATGGAACTAAATTATGGATTTATGGAACTAAAATCAAATTAAATATGGATTGATAATATGGATTGATAATATGGATAAAAAATATGGATTTATGGAACTAAAATCAAATCAAAGTGTTGTTTACATTTATGGGGTTGTACAACTTGTACATAGTAGAATACACTAGATGTTAAAGTTTCATTTACTTGGTTCCCTTTGTAAAAACAACACTACAACTTACATGCACCAACATCTGATTTGTTGCAAGTTGAAACCTGGTCCAGTTTTATTGCCCGATATATTTTACTCTGCCAACAAGTCTTAATAACAACTTACATGCACCAACATCCGATTTGTTGCAAGTTGAAACCAGTTTTATTGCCTGATATATTTTACTCTGCCAACAAGTCTTAATAACTAAGGGGCTATTTACATGAGCCCGACTAGTCCTGTTAACCGAGGCACCCAGCTTAATACAAATCATTTAACAAGAATCTGCCTAGCCGAGATCTCACTTGAGTCAAAGGGGATGCCCGGATAACCGGGCTGAAATTTCTCCATGTAAAGTCACCAGCTCAGGTAACCTCCTGGCTAGCCAGGCCTTCAGCCTGGTTAACTGGGCCAGCCTGCATGGCTAGCCAGGCTCATGTAAACAGCCCCTAAGGTGATAGCAACAATAATATACTTGGTGCTAAATGTAACATAAACTTGAGTAACAGAGAAAATTCTCATATTCAGATTATTTTCCCCTCATTGTAGAGTAAACTGTTAATATGTATCTTAAAAACTAGAGTGTATATTAGAATCTCACAGATTTATAATTTAAACTGTCGTTAAGATAAATCAGGTCTTTTATTGTCTGTTTTGTAAATGAAGTTCCCTGATTCATCCAAGCATTGATCTTTAAACTATTTTTCCAATATCAATGAACAGTCATGATAATGTCATAGGAGGCCTTGTCACTTGTGATACCAAATTTGTAAAGTCACAGCCAAAGGATTTCAATAGGTTCAAGTCAATATATTATCCCTAAAATTCATTTTTGAAGAAGAAGTAGGTCCAGCAATTTCTTTCATATCGCAATATTATTTTATATTAAACGATTGTAGGCCAATATGCCAAGTTGAATTACACTGTATTGAATAGTTGATCACAGATTCACAGAAGGTTCGATGAACTCGATTTATTTCCTTCATTGTTCATGGCATTCACGTCCTTAATCCTTTTGTACACCATGAAATATCACCAACCTATCACTCAAAACATATTTTACGGCGATCGGACTAACCACACATAAGCTATATAACTTTATATGTTTATCACTATTCGCCAAAGACCGAGGTGAAATTAATCGATGTATGACAATGGCCAAATTCCACGCTTAAATTCGTTTCTCATCCTCGTAGTGAACAATTAAATCAAAGAACAACCTCTTCTTTATGATATTTCAAAGTATCATGAGTTTTGCTTGGATACATAAAAAGCTAGAGCACTTTTAGTGGCTCTATTTCGTATTCCGCCATATTAACTCCTATAAAATTTCCTCTGGTTTGGTTGCTTTCAACATGGCGGCCACGCCGGAAGTCGGCTGACATTCTGGCACACTTTTTACCCTTGAGTGAACCTTCTGCCTATATCTATTCTGTGCCTTCTAGGCTTGCTTCCTTCGCCCCGCCCCCAAATCACCTAGTCCCAGTCTTTGCATGTGAAAAACCGCTGAATACTAAAAAATATAAATAAGACTAGAAGGCCTAGGCAAAGATTAGATACTATAAAAGATGTGTCACTCGACGTATTTCCCTAATGTTT